TGCTGCTCCTGTAGAAATACATGTGTGTTCCCGTAGTCCCGTAGTTTCTAAGGAAGTAGGCCGTCTTGACAAAAAAAACCCCACCACCCCCCCAAGACCCCAGGCATTTTAAATCTATATATGTGCACTTTAAAATTTTTCCTTATTGTCAGAACATCATGGAGATTTTATGTTTGAGGAGGGGGAAATGACATGATGTTTTAAAAGAATTTGTGTTCATTTGCTGCATTCTTCGATACTATGAACTGATCTTTTCATGGGGGTTTTTGTGACTTTTTGAAATGCCTGCTCTGGTCTGCACACTTTGTTTGGATGGCCAAGACCTCTACCTCAGTAGCCTGATTTTGTTGTTGGGACCTCTGTACCTGAATCAATACGGTGGTCGGATCAATGTGCCTGAGCTTGTTCCCCGTCTTCTGATGGGATTCATCCAGAGGAAACCTGAAAGTTGGGGATCTAGTGTGTGATGAGTGTGCTGCGTGCCCTCGGTGGTCCTTTGAGAGAGAGGGGAGTCACTTTGTGTGCTGATGGACGGGAGGAATTTCCCCATCTTCCTCCTGTAGGCACCTTTGTCTCTGATGGAGGAAGCAGCTGAGCTGTCTGGGGGGACGAGCCCGGTGGCTGGGGTCTGTAAGAGCGTTCTTTCTGGTCTGTAGGTAGGAGCATGCCTTGGTTTCTCCATGCTGAGCATCTTCCTCGTTTCCTGGTCTGCATCCACCAGAACTCCTGCCTTGTCCAGGAGCTTGTCCAAATAGTGGTACCCACCTGCGCTCTGAAAATCAGACCCCTTAAAGATGCTCCAGTAATGATTTGGAAGTGATGAAACTGCATTTCTTTTGTTAACGATTCAGTTGTCTGCAAGCTGGAGAGACTGACGGTATGTTGCCTTCTCCCCAGTAGGTTCTCCTCGGAGATGTAAAAGCTCCCATTTGAAACTCATTGATGTCGTGCTTTTGCTTGCTAGAGCAGGCTTTGCTGTCATGCATCTTTCAAGCCCTGGCCTCTTCGGAGTATCTGAGAACAAGTAGCTTGCCATGTGCGAGTTGTCTCTTTCCTTTTGGGCTGCGCTTTCGGGTTACCTCTGCGGGGATCCCTGTCCCTGTCCGTTGCCCGTGAATGAGAAATGTGGAGAAGGTGCTTGAGAAGTGCCACACTTGGCAAAGCGTGGGACTGGCTTTCGGTTCATTTCCCCTGATTGTACCGAGATCTATGAGTAACCGTGATCAGCTGAAATAGCTTATTTTTCTTAATCACTGAAAATTAATATCCTGTCTCATCCTGCAAGTCTCTTATCTGTCTTTCTGACACGTCGGTGGTATTGGTGTCCCCTGCCAGTAAGTGGAATGAATTTCACGTCCTGTGTACTGTAGTATGTCTTGTCACTGGAAATGGAGGACCCTCGCAAGAGGAAAATAATGAGAGAGGGAAGGAGTTTATTATTTTAATCTTTGCTTGCTTTCTCTTAAATGATATGTATTAATATTTTGGCAATTCAGAAGCGTGAATGAAATGCTACTTTTAAGTTATTTATAACTTGCGTCTCCTCCCCATGAATGTTAGATTAATAAACCTTTCTGACTCTGTACCTTGGGGGATCTGTAAGTCTTCCAATTAGCTATTAACAGTCTGATAAAAGATTGCAATCTTTTATGTTATTACTTTGATTTATGATTTACCGATCTGCTTCTCCCCTTTTCAGATGAATATATCGCCAGTAGCTCTTGCTCGAATTTATGAAGAAGACTTTAAACAAGATATGGCTGCCTTAAAGGTACAGATGCTCAAGCCTCTAAACTTATTAAAGCAGTTATTTTGGTAAGGAATCTGATTTTGACAGTTTGATCTGAAAAAATAAATTGCTTGTGATAAGTGTCGCTTGGAAACAGTACTGATTTACTTTTTCATTCTTCTGGAAAGATATTGCACACCTTTTGAGTAAAGAAATGCGGGGAGAAGCAAACCCTAGCTTTGGAATGAACAAGTTAAATTTTGTTAGGAACACAGGTTTCCCCCCCTCCGCCCCCTGCATGTAATAGAACCTTGATTTACAGGTAATACATATGTACTATAATGCAGTAAACATCAAATATTCTTTCATTGACTTCAGGTGACTTTGCTTCTTGTCCAAAATGGTTGTCAGAAGCATAGAGTAAGCCACTGGGGAAAAATTAATGGATTTTTTTTTTGCCACCCTTCAGATTTTTTGTGTATTATCTTAAATGCTGCTTATGACCTTGTTATGATACTTGCAACTTTTTTTAAAGATAAAATTAAGTAAAATGTTCTTTAAAGTGTGTTTCTTAGAGTGAAGGGACTTGTCCGCAGCGTGTTTCATACAGGCTAATGAGATGTTACGCTTCCTTTGTTTAAGGTCCTTCCTCCTACAGTATATATGAGAGTCACTGACAATATTCCTCAGATAATTTCCTTTATAAAAACAATAATTGCTAGTGGACAAGCTTACGCAACCCCTCAAGGTAAGACTTATAGCAAGGCAACTCCTTGTTCGGCACACGTGCGGGAAATCAGCGCTCTGAGTAGTCCTGTTTTGGGATCAGATGTGATACCCTGTGCCAGGCTTTCCTGCTGTTGATTAACAGACGGGGTGTGAGCAACTTGTTTGTGATGACATGAGTGGGCAGAACAACTATTACTCAATTTCTAAGTTAAATGAAGCTCGTTACTTAATATAGTTGTTTACCGTAATGAACTGCTATCGAAGCTCCTCTGGGGAAGTTCTGGCCTGGCTTCTACAAGAGAGCTCTAAACAGGAGGAGAGCGTCTCCTGTGTACTGTAAAAGATGTGCCGGCAAAGCACAATGTGTGGAGTGTGGTGTTTTGTTTGGTTCTTCCCTTGGTGGAGCTGGTGGTTGGAGAAGGACCTGACTGCATTATAGCTGGAGTAGCGGCAGGCTGTGCTGCAGCCAGGGAGGGGGTTGCTGACCGTGCATGGGCAGGGGAGAACCTGGGGAGATCTCCAGAATGCAGAGTTATCCGATGTGCAGAATGAGCCCATGCAGTGAGGGTACTGAAGAGCTGGTAACATGGAAACATCTGCTACTATTTTTGCAGTATTTCTGAATTTCTAAATCGGAATTTAAAATGGGAGTTGAAGGGTGTTGTGTTTTTTGCTTTTAGGGAAATGTTATCTCCTTATCATGGATGTGCCCCATCTTTGATATAAAACTAAGCATTTCTTTTCTATTAGGCAATGTTTATTTTGATGTTAAGTCTTGGGGAGACAGATATGGAGTATTAACTACTATATATCCTGATACCCAGGATGAACCAGGTGAGTTCGTGGCACCAACTTGTTTGTATTAATGCATTGATTGAGCTGGTGATGTAGCTATGTGTAAACTTTCATTCAACAGTCTGAAACCGTTTTCTAACCTGTTGTGCATAGCCAGCCTTTTGGTTAAATTAAGACTACGTTGCTTTTGTAATTATTTATTGAGGCACTCTCTGTTGCCAGTGCAAGGTGAAACTTGGTCTCTTTTCATACTTGGTTGCCTCTGTACCTTTGTTCTGGTGCCTTAGAAAAATTAGGATTCTTAATCAATTTTATTTAAATACTTGGGAGTGGTACATACAAACTTCATAGTGAGGTGGTGATCTCAGCAGTCGCACTAGCCGGCAGTGAAGTTTAGTATTTCTTTGTTGAAAAAATCTGTTTGCAATGACTAAAAATACCTGGCAGGCTGATGCTCCGGTGCTTTGCAGGCAGAAACTTCTCCCAGCTCCCCTCTGGAATTGTTCCAGCATTACAGCTCACAGAGGGGATGCGCTTTGTTGACGGTTATTTCGAGGCAGTCGCTGACTGCAAAGGCAGCCGGCGTCCTGCTGGGCTGCAGCGGGGGGAGCGTTGCCGGTGGGTCGAGGGAGGTGATCCTGCTCCTCTGCTCAGCACCGGTGAGACCTGCCCGGAGTGCTGATCCAGAGCTGGGCTTCCCAGAACGGGACTGACGTGAACAGACTGGAGAGAGCCCAGCAAAGGGCCACGAATACGATGGAGGTGCTGGAGCATCTTGGATATGGGAAGAGGCTGGGAGAGCTGGGGCTCAGCCTGGAGAGGAGAAGGCTGAGGGACATCTTACCTGTGCATACAAATACCTGACGGGGGAGTAAAGAAGATGGAGCCAGGCTCTTCTCAGGGGTGCTTGGAGACAGGACCAGAGGCCACGGGCACAGCCTGAAACACAGGAAAATCCATTTAAACCCAATAAAAAGCTTTTTTTATTCTGGGGAGATTAACACAAGAACGTGTTGCCCAGAGAGGCTGTGGAGTCTCCATCTCTGGAGATATTCAGACCCGGACGGGACACCGTCCTGGGCAGCTGGCTGGAGCTGAGCCTGCCCTGAGCAGGGGCTTGGACTTGGATGATCTCGAGGTGCCTTCCAGCCTCAACCCCAACTGATTCGTTGTTTTACCCTGTTTCCCCTCAAGTCACTTACGACTAAATTTACTGTCGTTTCTAAAGATTGACTCTTGTTTTGCTTATAACCGAGAAGGTGAAGAGTGCTTTGGAGTAGTAGTATACTCAAAAAAAAAAAAAAAAAAGGCAAAAGAGGGATAGAGCCAACAGATACTCGTCAGCCAGAGCTTGGCAAACTAGTGAAAGAACCAAGGTGAAGATTCAGTGGATAAAACTAGAGTTATATTTCTGTCCTTTCTATTAATTTTGAATGTTGAAGCCGGTATAATGGATTTTTGTAATGTGCTTCCCTTGATATTGCATGACATTCCCAATAAAAGCTGACTCTGTATAATACCAATAAAGTACAAGCGGAATGGCTCAAGAAAAATGACCATCTAATAGATCTCCAAAAATAGCTGTGAATCATCACTAAAATTTGTTGATACTGGAACGCTCCAGGGATTGGTTCAGACCCAGTTACACAGCGTGGTTTTGTTAGTGATCTGAGATAAGTAAAGAAGGAGATCTAACATCGGCTGCTCATAAAACAGGTTAGCAGTGTTAAACAAGGGAACTTAAAACAGCATGAGTTGCTTGCCAAGCTGGATCCCTGCACGCCGAATGGGTGTGTTTTTCTGCATTGGTCAAATGCAAGGTCACGTATTTGTCAGCAAAAAGACCACAGAGTCCAGAGCCCCGTTCTGTAGCTCCTGCCGGGGAGCCGGCAGAGCCCGACCGTCCTCTGCGGTACTGTGGGCAAAAGGACCGCAGCCTTGGCTGGGGACGCGGCAAACGCAGCTGGGAGGGGACCTTTGTACAGGAGCCGTCGGAAGGTTGCTGCTGTCCGAGAATAGTTTTGGTTCTCATCTCTGTGCTCTTCTTGGTTTTATAGAGTCTGAACCAGAAGCTATTTGTGTCCCAGAGGAAAAAAAAAATGTGGTGGTTTTTTTTGTTGTTGTTTGTGGATTTTGGTTTGGGTTGTTTTTATTACCTTTTCTGCTGTAGTGCAATTTTTTTTGTCCTGGGAAACTGGCTGATAAGTAACTAAATGAGTGATGTAAAACCAGAGAAGGCCAAAAGGACTAAAAGGATAGGGTGTATTAAAGAACCTTGAATCCATCATTTTAACCTGCAGAAATCTAATTCTACATACTTTTTTTTTTTTTTTTCCAAATGCTTGATTGAGAAACTGGAAACCCTATATAAGGGGGAAGGGAGGAAAATTGCAGGAAAAGAAGTTGAGCAAAAGAGATTAGAATCAGAGTAGGTCACTAAGCATACATTTCTGCTTGCTTTCATTTGCTTTTTTTGAGACACATCCCATTAACAAATCACTTATTCTTGGCAGTTGATACTGATAAACGACATGGTAAAGATTTTGCCCTGTGGAAGGCTGCCAAACCTCAGGAGCTATCTTGGACTTCTCCCTGGGGAAAAGGAAGACCTGGATGGCACATTGAGTGTTCCACAATATCAAGGTCAGATTTCTTGGATTTTAAATCTAGTGCTGGCTTTCGTTTTCAATCACAGTACAACGGTAGCGGCAGGATTGAAAGCGTTTTTCTGGTCAGTAGAAAGCACCAGTTTTAACATGAATACTTTGTGCAATTTGGGATGTCATGTGTGGCCCCAGAGAGCTCCGCTCCACCTTAACGGCGTAGCTGTCTTGCTGTGTTTTGTCACCTTCTCTTGAGACAGACTTGGGTATTTAAAATGCGATGTGCAGGATCACACAGTTAATTAGCAAGTCTTTTGACTTTGAACTGAGCACCCAAAGTTTTAGGGAAAGTTATGGTACCTCTTTCATGTGCCTCCCTTCCACTGCTTGCAGTCTCCGTCAGACCTAGTCGGCACGTCGCGCCGTGTCAGGAGGGCAGGGGATGGGTTTCCATCCCGACTCCAGTGAGCACAGGAGATCTTGCTGCCCTGATCTTAACAGCGGTTGTGGTTCTGCATGCGAATCGTCTAACTGTTATTCGGCTTGCTTTCAGAGTCAGTCACAGCATTAAATACTCTGATTTCTCTGTGGCAGCATACTCTGTCGACGCGATGCAAATTGTGCGTAGTAGCATTTTGCTTGTAGTTGGTTTAAATGAATTTGCTCTTAATTTGGAGCTTTATTTTCTCCACAGGATGGTAGTATTTTGTCCTGCGCTGTATTAACTTGTGACCTATTAATTTGTGCCTTGAAAAAAGGGACTCTAACTCCTCTCTCCTCAAAGACTGATGGTGGTACTTAATTTTGCATTAGTCTCTGGTCTTTTTTGGAAGCTAATAACGAGTGATTTAGATCTGGCCCTGTTTAACTTGAGAGTTTTCAACCCAAGCTGGAAGTAGATGGAACAGGTGCTTTAGGTTTCTCTTTCGTATGCTTTGCTGTTGCTCCTGAGGTTGTTAGTTATTACCGCCTGACTGTGAAAAGTGTTTAGAAAGGTGATTTTTCTGTCTGTGAATAGCTTCAGCACTGTGAAACAGTTCTCAGAGCAACTGAAGTGCACAAAAACGTGCTGTATCTGGAGTGCAGCCTGTGACAGAAGTGCGCGGGTAAGAAATGCCAATTACGAAATGGCCTATCCGCTAATGCGGTGCTCTTTAGAGTCTGCAGTTCTTTCTGTAAAAAATTGTGTTACTGCGGCTGGCTGAGGCTCCTGCCATGTAAATAAGAGTGGGCTCATGCAGAGCGTAAGTGTAGTAATCTTGGGCTGTGGAAAATGGAGAGATGATTTTGGTAAGTTATCCGAAACGTTTTGCTGTCGCAGTCAGCTGCCCAAGGCCCGTTTAAGCAATACCTACTTACCTGTCTGATTTGCCAAAGGTCTCGAAGCACTTTAAGTAAGCTGGGTGAGCTAATTTTGAAAAGTCTGAGAAGCGTCCCTGGGGAAGGGGAAGGGGAAGGGTGCTGGGGGGGGGAACCGCCGGCTGTGACTTGGGTCTGGTCCCTCTCTGGAGCTGCCCTTGGGCTGAGAGGGGCTGCTCCTCCTGCCCCGGGCGTCTTGCCGGTCCATCTCTCCCCAGCTCTGAAGGGGTTTTTGGAGGACACAGCAAGCGGCCAGTGCTCCTCCGTAGATGGCAGAAGGGAAGGCATGAGCCGGGGCCAGTCCTGGGAAGATCTGTGCTTACGCTGGTTTTGGAGCGGACGGGGAAGCAGAGGGGCAGGAGCCTGGGAGAAGACAACAGCCGGCCTTTCTTCCCTCCTCCCTTCTCCTTGTTCGCTTTTCTTGTGCCCCAGCTGCTTGGCAGAGCCATCGCGAGCCAGGGTGTTTTGTCCCCAAAAAGGGACGAAAGTGTTAGCGTCTCGCCAGCTACCAGGGGCACCTTGTTAACATGACGTGCGGGAAGACCGCATGTGTCTGCGTGTACGGACACGTGCACGTGTGTGGGGCTTGCCTTTTATTTTCTGCTTGTGCAGACCTTGCATCTTCCCCCGAGTGTCCCTGGTTTCTGGGCGGTTAGCGTCGATTTACCTCCCTGAGAGTGGGTGAAGCGTTGTCTTTGTTTAACGGATGGGCAAAACGAAGTTGTTGACTTGCCCGGCATCACCCAGCAGGGACTTGCTGGAGTGGCGGACAGAGGTTAGCAGCCGTGGCTCCCGGTGTTCAACTGAAAACGTCCAGGTCTGTCCTGCCGCCACGGGAACGCCTGACTCCCGGCCCCCGGCGTGTGCCGGGCCAGCAAGGCCCGGGGTGCCCTGCACGGGGGTGAGAGGAATGGCCCTGGGACAGCAGAGGCACCCACACTTTCTTCTGACGTTATAACAATATAGGACTAAGCGTTTTCTACACTGACTGCCCGCAGTATTGCCTGAATTCTTACAGAAAAGGTACGACATAAAGGATAGTAATTCCAAATTTACAGAAATGCTTGTGACTTTGAAATTGTTAGGCTCGCAGATGAAGGCGGCCGTCTGATACCGAAACTGTAGCAGAACAAGGGAAGGAGCTGTCCTGCTTGCCATTCTTTAATCTAAGTTATAAAAACAATTGCTCCTACTAAGGAGAATTAATTGCAGGCGGATATGGGTCTTGCCCATACAAGTTCTGCTGCTGTTTTGGTATCCGAGATCTATGTAAAGTCTTGTTTAAAAACTGCAGTCATTAAATTGTACACTTAAATTTATGTTGCTTCATCTGATTCTTTTCTGCATTTCTATTTACAAAAAGCTTTTGTAGTGTTCTGCTTACTAATCAGGAAAATATTGTTACAGCGCAGTGTTTGGGAAGCAGCTGGACATCCATACCGGTGGAATAGATCTTGCATTTCCTCATCATGAAAACGAAATCGCACAGTGCGAGGTGTATCATCAGTGCGAGCAATGGGGGAATTACTTTTTGCATTCTGGTAAGTAAAATGTTAATCACTTGGGAGGCCTGTACAAAGAAAACGGTTTGGTTCTTTGGGTTTGGCGTTTGTATGGTACGAAAACAGATGCTCTGCTACAGTGACCAAGTTCCTGTCCTTGCTAAGTGAAGAAATGTAAATGACAGTGAATCTTGAAACTGTAGAACGAATGCCTTTTATTAATAAAGCAGTTACAGTCAAATATTCCTGAATTTCATCTGGGGAAGTCTCCAAGTAACAGTGGTGTATGCATTGCCTGTGTACAGTGTTTACGCCTAATTAACAATGTGGAAAGAAGAGTGTTTCCTGTAGAACGTCATTCCTTTTTGTTTGAGTTCCCTCAAAATTTGAGGGTACCTTTTGTGACAGGCTTTCCTTTCTAATTGTATTTTGTCTGTAACAGTCCTGCAGGAGGAGGGTGAAAATAGTTTGTATTTTCTCTGTGTGTTTATGTAGCCCTCCTTTTTCCCGCTGTCGTAGAGCCAGAGCCCGCAGTACCTGCAGGCAGGGAGTGGAGGTGGCAGGTGGGCAGGTAGCTGGTTGTGGTGTTTTAAAAGCATTGAGAATAGAATAAACCAGTCTTGTTCTCCAGCATCTCTCAGTACCAGTTGCTTATGGGCTTAAAAATAAGTTTTCAGTAGCATGCAGAATAAAATAGCCTGTGTTTGTAATTACCATGAAAGACTTTTAATCATGGTAAGAAAAGACATCTGTACTACTGAAAAATAAGAATGGAGAGAATGCTAAGATGCATGAACTGATGGACCGACAAAGCTCACAAAGTTGTGATCCTGCAGAGAAATGTCTGCGCTGGGATATTCTGTATGGGGTGAAATGTGGGGAAGCCTTGCAGGCAGACGCTGTGCTCGGGAGCCGACCACTGGACGTTCTGGTGTGCAATTCCCATACCTGTAACTATCTGAATTCTCCTGGGAAGCTTTTTTTTTTTTTTAATCTGCCAGTGGCATGGCACCTAGCGATGGGCG